TTTTTTTTTTGCTACTAATAAATTCATTCAGTATAGTTAATAAGTTGTTTACGAGTGGAGGATTCTTAGCACTTTCAGCTCAAGTTCTGGGGCTGATTGTTCCTTTTAGATTTTGAGGTATAAATCTTAGTCGCAGATTTATGAGGGAGTTTTTAGCATTGCGAGTAAGGTTCTAGAAAAGAGGTTGAAGTAGCAAATATTCATTTTTTTCTAAAGTTTCTGAATGGAAATTATTTACCGGTAGCTGTTTCTCAAAGTCTTCCTGCATGGGCGGTGAATGTAGTATGATCGATGTAGATTAATACTGCTTTGTCCAGGCGGAAAACGGTAAGGGTCAAAGGCAAAGTATCAGCGACGAATGTTTGGTTATTGTTAAGTAGCAGTGGAACATATCAAGGATATGGACAGTTCAATACCCAATGGACGATGAATTTTCACGCTGCGTTCTATTTTTTGTGCACTTGAATAGGCAAGAGTTTTTTTTAAATGATAGTGCTTGAGTTAGGCTTTCTCTTCTCTTGGATTTAGAGTTTTTTGATTCTTGATTTTGCAAAGGACAGAGGATAATTTAAATTTTACTTGAAAATTCCGTTTGGTTTGGCCGATGAATTTGATTGCTAAAGAAATTGGTCATTGAAGTTCAGTAAGTTTTTTTTCTTATTGTGTTGCTGCCGCAATTCTTTTTATTTCAATTGCCATCAGGATCCACCTCCAGATGAAGCATTTTTGACGCCTGAGCTTGATTTATGATCAGAAATAGAAAGCAAAGTGAACTTTGAAAAATATTGTCATCAGTACTTTTTGTCATTTAATTATTTCCTGCTTGCTTAGTTTTCTGAGCGAGTGCTGGAGAAGAAAAGCGCCTCAAGGTCTTTTTCTCAAGAGTTTTGTATTCAGATCCTCACAACGGACAGATTTTTACGTTAATCAGCTGCGCAAAGCTTAGCAGATCGTCAATATGATTTGAAAGCGAAATTTTATACGCTTTCCATACTATTCGAGTTTTGAAGATCAGCAACGAGATGGGACTGGGCGATCTTTAAAATACAGAGTGAGATCGGAAGTAAAGTATTTAGTAAGAGGAAGAAGGAACTAAAGGACGAAGTAACACTGGAGCATTACAGTGCGCTAAGTTGGCAGCGATTATGGGTTATTCACTTGAGTAAAGTTTATTTATTTCGTAAATCACGACAAAACAAACATTTTGTGCCTTTTATGGGTAGTGCAATGGGAATGGTTACGAGTATGTATAGGGAAGCCTCTAATTATGCGTCAATCAGAGTAGATGTACATTTGAATTTTTTTGAACTGTGCTGGCACTTTTTGGTAAAAAATTCTCGGGGTCAGCACTATCGTTGCTGCGTCGGATGAACTCTCTAAATCTCGTCTTAATATCAGAAGCAAGGAAGAAATAGGACGAGGATTTTAGTTTTGATAGGTTAAATCTCGTAGTAGGAAACATCTGCATAACTGTAACCGTCGTGTCCTATGAGCTACGTCTTCAGACGTAAGTTCTATAGTTTGAATGAAGTGAACTAAAATTTATTATTTTTTTTTTTGAAGAATTTTAGCGGAATAATCTTATTCCTACTGAAATCTTGAGTTCTACGGCGAAACGTAATGCGCACTCAGCTCAGTGGAAAGTAGTTGTTACAAAGCAGTGGAAGAATATACCACAACTTACATAATTTTTGCGAAATTTAGCGGTATTTGAAGGAGAAAGGTAATTCTAGAATAGTTTTTGGGAACGGGCTCTTGGAATTGGCAATCTACATCGAGGGATAAAGTGAAGGTGGAATAAATGAGTTCTCCTCCCGCATAAACTCATTTAAGACATGATATGGAAAGCTAAATTTAAAGCGTCCACTGTGACTTTTTTTCGTTAACTTAGGATGAGGTTTCAAGCATCGTCTGTCTTCTTTGGCAGTCTAGTTCTAAAACTCGTCTATCGGAAGTAGGCTATCTGATTTCGTGTCTGGTTTCACTGAGCTGGCTAAATTGGTACTGATCAGTTTTAGTCTTCAAGACGTATAAAGAAATACGGGGCATCCTAAGGCATTTCATTTTACTTCACTTTTTCACCTTTGCTTGAAGGTTTCCGCGACCTCTACTACCGCCTATTAGAGTCTAAACCAGTGTATTTATATTGGAACTGGCATACTGGGTACTTGCTGTATCACGAAATTGCTAGCAAAAAGACGGATTTTGGAATCTGGCTTAAAAATTAATTATTTGAGAAGTTTTTAGCTAGTTTTTTGTTAGACAACCTTGTAATAACTTTTAGACGTTCCTGATAGTTTAAGATTCACGAAAGTTTGCTTTATCCCTATTACTACGTTCAATTATTGGAAGAGGCTTCGGAGTTGATTTTCGATTTCATTTTACTTGGGGAGTAATTTCTGATAGCGCTTTCGCTTTTATTCTACAAATTTTAGATATAACTAACTGCATTATTCTGAGAAAGCTTAATAAATTGCAAAGAATTTTCTTCTTATTCAGTTACCTACTTACGCGATACTCAGCAGTGAGGAAACAGTAAACAGACAATTTTGGTCCATTACTTCCAAGTAAGTCAGGCCTATAAATGGAGCACTAAGGACAAAAAGCTTCTGAGGCTTTTCGGGACGAAGTATTTGGACACGGAAAACAGATGGGTTTACGTATCCTACCCGTTTTTTTCCTGGTAGCTAACAAAATGTAACTTTTACAATCCTGACAAGTAAGGAAAGGTTATATTGTTACGGTATTTTGGCATCGCAGTGGGTATAAAGCCTTTTAGCGTGACCACCATTGTATAACTTAATTTTCATCTAGCAGTTAAAAGATGGTCATGGGCGTCACAAATAATAAACTCCATTTCTAATTAATGCGCTTTCTTTCATCTATTTTAGTACCTGTTTTTTCACGTTGCATTCTTTCAATCATCTTATCACCAATTATTTTTTTGAAGTCTATTAGTACAGAATATGTTTTGCAAATTCTTCAGAGATATCTGCTCTGAATGCATCACTTCGGAGCCATCTCACCCAGGCAAGGACGTTTGGAACAACGATGCAGCAGCCTACGTCGTAAACTACCGTATCGACTATAGGACTGGTGGAAAACTGGCTGATTTACAGAACCACCACTCACCAAAGAAAAACTGAAACTGCTTTAAGCACTAAGAAAGTTGTTCATATTGCCTCCGTTTGTGAGTTACATTGCTACTTGTTTCACCATGAAGCTCAGGAAAATGATTTTTCAAGGTTTTATTCAGTTTTTTTATTGTGACTTTTTTGCTGATCGGACGGTTATTTCACAGCGTGAGGATGTTTTTGGGGAACATCGTTAGCTATTGGTATACACTTCCGGTTTGTGTAACACCTCATTTAGAGAGGAAATTTAACGGGTGTTACATAGAAAAAATTTCTATGTCTTTGGATCAGCGAAGTATTTGCAAGCGGTCTTCAACTTAAAAATCAAAATCTCTATTCTCTTTTTCTTTCTTATGCCGGCTTTTTGAGAATTAAGTTAATAGTTGTCGATTTTGAAGACCTTCATTCGAGAAGGAATTACTCAGAATTTTACCGTGAGACTCACTCAGCCGTAAACGATGTAGGCGCTAATGTGGTATTCTAACGGCATTCAAGGAAATACTATTAGTAAATTTTATTTGATAGCACGCAGTTAACTGATGTACTGCGTTCATATTTGGGTGGCGGAAAAACAGGCTTGTAAAAAATGGTAAACGTTTTGGAGTATACAGTGTAGAAATCAGGTAAGTTATTCACTACACTCGTTCCAAAAACTACCGATCAAGAACTCAAATGAGAACGGTTCCTTTATGCATGCTCAGGTTTGGCTCTCAAGACGTCCTGTGGGAGTGGGAATGTAATTACTCATTGCTGCGAATGCTCAAATTGCTAGTCCTAAGAGGACTTGGCGAGACATATTCTTCTGGATGGGTATCTGGAGTGACTTTATTTTTCTTACACACTAAACTCACGCTCTGACTGTATTCGGCAGTTCAACTCATAAGTTGCATCACTTTGCACAGCTAGTTTTTTCAACCGGTTCTACTGTTACATTGTTAAAAGTGTACAGCACTATCCTTATCCTGATCTTGTTTACGTAAGCTTAGCTGAAGGTGTTCGTTGCAAACAGACGATTTTTTGTTGATTTTCGAGGTCTTTTTTTGAGAGCTTTGCTTTGTCACATTGTTGACATGTTCTAATTATCGGTGTAGTTTACTTACTACAATTTATGGTTGACCTAAAAAAAGACACAGTTTCTGCCCTAAACCGTTTTCTGTTTACTTTTTACCAGAAACAGGTTGAATGACTACCACCTTTTGCAGAAAAAGCTTAGTTTAATTAAGCCAAAATTAAGGTTTTTTGTAGACCAACTCTGCCAGCTAAACCCCCTCGTTATTGTCATCCAAAGTTTTAGCCGCGCAGCCAACTTAATACCAGTCTCAATAATTGCAGCCTCTTGATATGATTTACAAAGCTGATTACGCTCTCTACTAGTTGTTCAAGGTTGCCGCTTTCATTAGTCAATTTATGCTAAATCTGACGGGAATGACTTGTTTAGCAATTTTGTATGAGCTAATTGTAAAAAGAATTTAACCATAGAAATTCTATAGTACCGCTTTAACAGTGCAGATGTCTAATCAATTCACTTGTGAACATCTGTTTTTGAAGTTCGACTCACATTTTTATCAAAATAAATCAGCAAGAAAGTTTTTCTCTATTCTGAATTTTTATAAGAATGTAGCTTTAAGAAAAACCAATCTCTGGTATTACTGTTCTTCGACATTGCAATTCTACGTTATGGATAAACGCTAACGCAATTGTTTGTTTTATGCTCTTTTCAAATTTAGTAGGAATTAATATAATTTATGAAGGGAGCGAATATGAATAAAAGTTGATTGTTTGGTAGGTATATCATCATCTAGTACTGGGACTGTCAATATACGAAATCTACACCTGATGAAGTCTTCAAAGGGTCTCCAAAGAGCAGAGCTAACTAAATAATAAATAAAGCGCAAGTTTTTCGTCGAGAGTATGGATGACCGTCCAAGTACAAATAACTGGACAATATCTAGTGATGATCGTTGCGTGCATTCAATCAACATATTAAGACCATTCTGATGACTCGTTAAGATGCAATATTTTGAACAGTTACTGGTAAATTTGGTGGAATACTTAAGAATTTTTCCAAGTCCAATTAGCTTAATTAAGTGATAAGCAGATA